TTTTTTGTACTGGGGATCAAACTCGGAACCTTGCACTTGTGAGGCAGGTGGCAGAACCACTGAGCTAAATCCCCAGCCCCTTGTTTTGTTTTCTGAGACAAGGTCTCACTATGTAGTTCAGGCTGGTGTTGAACTATGTAGCCCTGGAACTCATGGCAATCCTCCTGCCTCAGCTTCCCAAGTGCTGGGATTATAGGCGTGTGCCACCACGTCTGGCATCATATACTTCTGGAAGAAACTTGTTGGGAGTCAGAGCTCATGTCCCTCATTGCCTTTTCTGCCCTTCTACCTTCTCATCATCACCAGATGATCTTCTTTTTCTTGAGACAGGGTCTTGTTATATAGTTCAGGCTGACCTCCTGCCTCAGCCTCCTGAGTCCCGAGATTATAGGCATGTGCCAACAAGCCTGGCTCATTATGAGATGATTCTCTTCCAGATGTGCTAATATCCTTTCTTGCCTCCATAAATGGGTATATCCAGACACCCGGCATCCAGGAAGGCCCTCAACTTATGTCACTATCACTGGTCAGCAATTCACTAAATCAGTTCTCACTGGCTGGCTTCTGTTGGAAAGGCCCTCTTTCCTAGATGGGAGTAAGCCTTGCTCCTCAGGGTCCGTATTGCTTTTTCTTTTTTCTTTTCATGGGAGACAAACTAGTAAAGTTTAGGGCAGAGCTGGTAAAAAGCATAGCTCTCCTACTGCCACATCCTGAGCATTATCTAGGCCACCTGAACTCTTCCTGCTGTTGTGCCATACCCTTCCCATCTGCCTCCCCAAGAAATGTGAGGGCCCCAGATTTCTCCCAGGCTCTGTGTACTAGTGGCTGGTATCCCATCAGACCGCCACGTGACTGTTCCTATCCCTTCTTGCCTCCCCAGTTCTCCTGTGCCTCCTGCTGGCTCTCTTTGCATCTGGCCTCATCCACCGAGTGTGTGTAACCACCTGGTAGGTGCCTGACAGCTGGGTAAGGGGTGTGTCGCATCACCTGGTCTTTTGGCACCAGACCCTACTGTAATGGTGCTACCCTTCCCCTGCCCTGTACCCCTGCTTCTGTTCTCCTTCCTTTGCCCTTCCCTGTTTTCCCAAACCATTTTTCCCGGTATTCTTTCCATGAAGCTAGCATCTGTCCTGGCTGTAGGCTGGCAGCACACCCACTGAGGCTCTGATCTTTCTGTCTTCACTCTGCAGCTTCATCTTCTCCATGGTTGGCCTGTACTACATCAACAAGATCTCTTCTACTCTGTACCAGGCAACGGCTCCGGTCCTCGCGCCAGCCAAGGTCTCAGGCAAGGGCAAGAAAAGGAACTGACTGGATGTCCAATAAAGTCGATTCTTTGTACTTCTGTGGGCTGTGACATGTGGTAGGTCTCATCTGTGAAGGCTGCTGGATGTGCAGAATGTTACACAGATGGGCACCCACTTTTCTCAGGCCTTGGGGATGGGGAGACTTCCCTTCCTCGAAGGGGCATTGTGCTGAATATTTATGGAGTGCTGTCAGCGCCAGGTACTTTGCCAGGAACTGGAGTGGGATATATTTGTGTGAGAGTCTCCTCATGGAAGAAAAGGTTATGAATGATCTGCAGTCTTGACCTTTGGGGCCAAGGGTTATGCTACAGTGATCTTGGGACAAACGAGGAAGAGGAGAGGCCCTTGGCCCTGTGCTGTGCCATGGGGTCCCAGGCAAGGCTCTTTGGCTCCCCACCCTGAGTAAAGGGCTCCCTGCCCCTTCTGCAAGTGCACAAGGCTGTCTCCCTGTCCCAGCGTGAACATGTCTGTGTTCACGGACTCCCCAGGTACACCATCACTGGCCCAGCCTCTCTGTTCAGGTACTGTCATTTCCGCCTCTGTCACAGCCAACACATTCATTTTGGCTTGTTTCTCAAGACAAGGTCTCAGTCTGTAGTGTAGGCTGGGCTGGAACTCACTATGGAGCCCAGGCTGGCTTGGAACTCTCGGTGATCCTCCTGCTGTTGCAGAATTCTAAAAAGGACGAGATCCCCAAATGGGAATTGGGAGATTTACTGGTGCACCTTGACTCAGCTGGACTTTCTGTCTAAAAGACTGAGCGCCAGACAAGGACATGTGTTTGGCTTTTATACATTTTCTAAAAAGGGGTGGTGCCTGTAGTGACAAGCTGGCGGGGAGGCAAGCGAGGTCACAAACAAAAAGCAGGCTAGTCAGGTCTCACACGAGGACGGTTTTGTTCTTGTGAATCCAGTGAGAACAGGGCATCATGAACCTTGTTCACAGGACATAGTTGCCAGTCTCATCTATCTTTGAGGGCAAATGGCTCCTTGAAGGTTGCAAAGACTTCATTTACAGGAATGTAACTGGCCTCTTAGCGTGGGGCAGGGTCAGCCCTGGCGGAAGTCAGCTTTCTGCAAGAATCTGGCTGTTTACCTTTTCTGTAGCAGAGCAGAGATCAACAGCCACAGGGGGAGAGTGGAGAGCTACAAAGAGCTAGGAGACTTTTTTATTTTTATTTTTTGGTACCGGGGATTGAACTTGGGTCCTTGCGCTTGCGAGGCAGGTGGCAGAACCACTGAGCTAAATCCCTGGCCCCAGGAGACTTTTTTAAAGAAAAAATTGATTTTTTAAATTCTACTTTACTGCCTCAGCCTTCTGAGTGCTGGGATTACACCCCCAGCTTCACAGGCAGCACACTAAGAACTTCCCACATTTTAGCAAAGTGTATAAATGACAGGAGCAAGGGTACTAACCTCTGCGCCAGCCTTGATGGAAGTGAAGTGGGTGGCTATCGGGTCCTGTCCTGACTGCTCTGTCATGAGAAGCAGCTCTCGCCTGTCCTTTGGAGCACCAGGCACTGCCTCTCCTGATGGGTGGGGTGTGCCCCTGTCTTGTCAGCTTTGCCTGATAATAGGCAGTAGACTGGTGGGTTGGTTGAAAAACCTGCCCTTCTACCCTTCCAAAACAAAATCTGGTACAAGGGAGCTGCTAAGTTAGGGAAGAGGACCCAGGGAAGATGGAGAAGGGAGTCAAAGGAATTCTGCTCATCGGTTAGAGACCGCTGTACTCGTCTAACTCCCATTGGTGGCCCTTCCATTCCTGGCTAAGGAGGGAGCGCTAGGCAGTTCACCCCAAGCGCCTCCAGAGGGCGATGTGAGCCCAGGTCTCCGGAGAATAGCAACACCTTGCCTCGTGAGGGACCTTGAGGATCGGAGCAGGGTTGCTGCTGGGTCCGGGTGTGGGAGGTGCCCAGAGGCCTCCCGAAGCAGCCTTGCCCTCGGCGGCGCAGTGCAGGCAGAGCGGCTGGAGGGCAGAGGCTCCCCGGGAAGATGGCAGCTGGCCAGTGAGGCTGCTGGAGGTGGACAGTGGCCGCGTGTGGGACTGTGAGAGGGGAGGTTGTCTACAGCGGGCCTAGGGCCTACGGGGAGGCCCTACTGGGGGCTCTTACGGTCCAACCTCGACTTTCTCCTAACCCGGAGGAGACCAGTGGGCAGAGGGCCTGATCCAGTCCAGGGCAGGGGCAGAAAAAGCCACCTTGAGTGCCCTGGGCCTTCATAAGAGTGCGGTCTGGGCGGGCGGGCAGCCACATCACCTTCGTGCTAGGAGAGGGCGGGGAGGACCCCGAGAGCAGGCACAGGGCAGTGCCCCCATTCTGTAGGACCGGGCAGCAGGCGGCCCGGGAATAATGAGCCCTTTCTCCGGACGGCTGCATTTATGAGGCAGGATGGCGCCGGGTGCAGCCCTCCTCCTCCTATCTCTGTGGTCCCTATTGCAGGCTGCTGCACCTGACCCGCCAATTAACCCTGGCCAGGGGATCCCGGCCACCTAACCCCCATTATTAAGTGAGGGGTGTGAGGACACTGGCTTCCGGACATGGCCAGGGTGAGAGGGCCAGAGCTCTAACCTGTTGGCCCCTGGGCTCCCGGGGCTCTGGTCCACCCCGGGTAAGAGGCCTCGGGGATAGAGTGGCATCTCTGCCCCAGAGCACAGAGGGAAGCCAGATGTTTCCTCCAGCTCCCTCACACGTGGCCCCGACACCCGGCGGCAGTTCCGGAAGCAAGAGTAAATAGTGGGGGCGGGGCTGGCGGGGAGGCCGCTCAGCTCCTGGCCCCGAGGTGAGGCGCTGCCACCCTCCAGCCCGGTAGTGCAAAAGTGAGCCGAGGGCAAGCAGGCTCCCTGGGCCAGACAGGGCTGACTCGGCACCAGCAGGGGCTGCCTGGCTTTGGACGAGCTAGCAGGTCAGGGCGGGCACTGGGGCACCCAGGGCAGGCAGAGGGGGAGTCCGCGCCAGGCCTTGGCTGCAGCCCTTTCCGGCCCCTATTGTCCTTGGTGAGAACAGGACGCCATCCCGTTCCCACTGCTCGGCCCCCCCAGTTCTGCTCCCCAGGGGCTCGGGAAGGATGTTGGGAAACGAGAGAGCCAGAGACCCTGAGAGACAGAGATGCTGAGAGACCCAGAGACAGACGCAAAGGGGAAAGTTTCAGTCCAAAGCCCTGCTGAAACTCGTTGTGCACAGAGCCGGCCCTAGGCGCTGTGGGAACCCCTGAAAGAATGGGGGGCGGAGGCTGCCCTGCCCCAGGCACAGACCTCCTGGACTTGGGGCCCCAACAGGGCTGCCACCTAAGCAAACCACACCTGAACCCCAGGGCAGGCCTGCAGGCCTTAATCGGCCCCTTCAGGTACTTTCCTCCTCCTCCCGGTGAACGGTGAACGGCAAGTTCGGGAGGAGGACAGGGACCCCGACAAGATCAGGTTCCCAAATCCCATGGCCCAGCCAAGAAGTAGCACTGTAAATACTATTTCTTGGATCCTGGCAGAGGCAGAGAGAGAAGCCCCCTACTTGGTCAAAGAGTCAGGTACTGCATCACCTGGAGTGAAAGAGAGCAAACTGCTATTGACCTGGCTACCACCAGGAGCACAGTACAAAGCTCTCTGTGGGCTCTGAGAGGCAGCCTTGCCTAGCTTGGCAGCAGTGGGCCTGGGCAGGAAACTCCTACGCACCTGGGCTCACTGACTGCTCCCGGAGAGACAGGCCTTCTGCAAGCTGGAGAGAGGTCCGGGGCCCTACTGTCTGTGGAGGAGGTTCCATGTGCACTGCAAAACGGAGAGCTATCCCAGCCACTCAGGAGGCTGAGGCAGGAGGCTGTAAAATTCAACCCCAGTCTGGGCAACTTAGTTGTCTCAAAATAAAAAATAAAAAAGGTACAGGTTGAGCCTGGCATGGTGGTGCACACCTGTAACCCGAGCACTCTTAGAGGGAGGCCAAGGCAGGAGAGTTACAAGTTGGAGCCCAGCCTGGGCAATTTGTTTATTTAGGTACCAGGAACCAAACTCAGAGCCTCATGCTTGCCAGGCAGGTCCTGTGCTGCTGAGCTACATCCCTGGCCTCAGCCTGGGCAATTTAGAGACTTAGTGAGACCCTGTTTTAAAAAATAAAAAGGGCTGGGAATTAGCTCACTACAGAGGCCCTGAGTTCAATTCCTAGTACCATTAAATGAACAAATAATAATTTTTATTTTTTGATACCGGGGATCGAATTCGGGTCCTTGCACTTGCACAGCAGGCGGCAGAACCACGGAGCTAAATCTCCAGCCCCAAATTAATACTTTTTAACACAAAGTTACAATACAATGTAATTATGCTATTCACAAGCTGGGTGTGACAACACCCTAGTACTCAGGAGGCTGAGTCAGGAGGATTGCTAGGAGTTTGAGACCAGCTTGGGTTACATAGCAAGACCTTGTCTCAAGAAACCAAAAACAAAAATAATTATGGCATTCACAAAAATCATAATAGGATCTGTAGAAGTTTTTCCACCACAGAGAACCGTATGTTCTATTTTATCGCTTAAAGGCCTATGATAATGGGCATATCAGATTCACTGTGCTATTCTACTTTTATACATACTTTAAAATTTCATAATAAAAGTTAAGTCTTTCTGTTTTATCAGAGTAACACTGTGACTGTAATCATAGGTGGAGATAACACCACCAGAAACCTAAATCTGAGGCCCTGTGTGGCAATAAAGCTGGAACCAAATGGCCCTGTTGGCTGGTGAGGAGCTTTGCTCTGAGAAGCCCTCTCACCTCAGAGAAGACAGAAAAGAAGGGCTGGGAAGCCCCCTCTGCGTGAGGCCGAGGCTATGCTACCGGGGATGCTGGATGGCGGGATTCCTGTCCACACTGCCTGCATCCTGCAGAAAAGAGCATCACCATCCTCTTTTCTGAGTCAACGGTTGTTCTGAGGGCTGATCTCAGGCTGTTCCAGGGATTTCTGAGCCTGAGGTGCGTGTGTGTCTGTGTCAGAGGGCCCGAGGTGCGTGGATACTGTTTTAGGATATAGGAAAGCACCCCAGGGCCCCCACTCCTGCGAGCCC